AAATGGTCTAAATTCCCTAAATGCTGTAGTAAAACATTTACTATCCTCGACCATTTTGTAAGATGTAAACTTTCCTTTACTCAGTGGTACTGGGTGTGATGTTGGATGTGTCCTGATCGCTATTATGTTATGCCACACTGATCTTCTTTATCACTAATCATAGTTAAAAGGCAGAAAATCTTCAAATCTATTTTTTAAAATAAGTTCTTTGAGAATTGTGTGCATTTTATAATGTTTCTAATCTTTGCTTCCATAACCATTTTATTTTCTATGCACTATCAGTCTTCGACAGCATCGAAAAGAGAAAAAAAAGGAAAAAAAAGTTTCCTCTTGACTAATTGACAAAGAACACAGAAAGATAAATTCAGAATCCAAAAGTTTTCAATGTTTTAAGTTCATGGTCTATGTGTGGATGAGTGAGTCTATACTGTTGCTGTGTTTATTATTACAATGCTGTTATTATTATTGCTATTGTTATTTCTGTTGTTGTTGTTGCTTATGTTGTTGTTTTTCTTAGTGTTGCTTTTCTTGTTGATGTTGTTGTCGTTGTCGTCGTCGTCATTGTTAATATTGGAGCTGTTGATGTCGTTTTTCGGGAAGGTTCCTTTTTCTTTTTTTTTCTGGCGTGGGCCACAAGTTTGATATCTTGACAGGAACAAGCAAATCGGAATCCGAAACAAATTAATAGTATATTTATATGAATACAATTATACCTCTTTGATTACATAAAACTGTCAGATGTTCAGCACATTGGTAACTTTAACCTCAAATTGTATTAAATTTAAGCTCAAACCGAATCCGCACGTAAAGCCAGTTGGGAAATAAAAGTGCCTAGGCCTTATAGAAATCCACTCAGTGCGAGCACAAAACTGTGCAATAAGAGAACACACCAGACAGCAACTTTACTGACTGACTGTACGCTGAACGCAACCCAGCATCGCACTGCACTGCGTGCGAGCAAGGCTATGAGGGCAAGGGAGGCCACTCCGTCTCTCTCCACCTCTCCCTCTCTCTCTCTCTCTCTCTCTCTGTCTCCCCGTGTGAATCAAAATCGCTGCGAGCCGCGTGGGTTGTTTCGCGCTGGTACTGTTGATACTGACAGACTTCTGCTGAGAGCCAGCGGAGCGCAGACACACAGAGGTAGACACCGGATGAATGCACTACTTTCGTTCGTTCTTTCTATTGCAGTTGGATTTCATGGTTCATAAAGCTGTTTTGTGTATGTGTGTATGCGATATGTGTAGAAGTGAGAAGTGATGATATGTTTTGTTCATTTTTGTGTTTCGTTCGAAGTGCAGTGCTGAGTTTTAGTCTCTTACCGTATGCCTTGCTCGGTTTCTTAATTTCATTATTATTTTGATTGCTGGAATTTGTGCCTACCTTTTTATTTTTATGTATTTTATTGAGGTGATTTCTTAAAACAGTTGGACTAAGATTTGTGAAGAATACCCGAAACGAACTGTGTGAAATTGTGTGTTAAACATTGATGTTTCATTTTGAGGAATATTATGAATTCTCTTGATAAGTTTAGCTTTATATACTTTAAACTATATAGATCTACTTAACTAGCATCAAGCTGTGGCAGGGTACCTACTTGCGTGGTAGCTTTGTAAATTCTGTTTGTTAATTTTGAATCATCATTTGCCCGAAAATACTTGGGTAAAGTTAAAAACACTTGCATTTTTTTTACACTTCTAGAATGTAGTAATGTGTACATGACTGTCTCTTCATCAAAATGTGAGAAGATTTTATGAGGCATTGTGCGGGACGTTTGTTACTTGCAAAAAACGAAAAATAGGAAACGACCACAGGGCTTTGTTATAAACGAGCAACAATAGTATTTCGTCTGTATGCTCCAGCATCCAATTTAATTTTGAAAACGTTGTGGGGTTGTTTTTTGTTTCTTTTTTTTTGGGGGGGGGGGGGGGGGGGGGGGGGGGGGGT